CAGGTGTGGTGACGGGCACCTGTAATCCCAGCTACTCTGGAGGCTGAGGCAGAGAATTGCTTGAATCCAGGAGATGGAGGTTGCAGTGAGCCAAGATCACACCACTGCACTCCAGTCTGGGCGACAGAGTGAGACTCCATCTCAAAAAAAAAAGAAGTCCATCTCTCTCTGTCCTCTGTCCTCTGATATTCATCTTCTTTGCCTGAGGCAGGTCTGCAAAGTCAAGGGCTAATTCTACAGGGGATAAATCCTTACATGTGAATTGGCCCCAGCTTTAGGCTGAGCCACGACCCTGGCACCACAAAACTCAATTTGTGCCTCCCAATATTCACATAACAAGGACAGGACTATCTTTTCCCTATTTTCACTGCCCTCCCTTTGGTGGGCTAGTTCAGTGGTGTAAGAGGCAGCTGAAAGGCACAAGAGGAGCTTTCCTGAGATCAAAGCTCCCACCTGCAGGTAACCCCCAGCCCAAGAGAACCTTGCCTTCCCTCCTGACTCCTCTGGCCCTCATAACCCTCTTCTCTGAATGCCAGGGTACCATGCCCAGTGGCAACCAAGGAGCATCAGACAGCTCCTGGTTACCTCATCTCCCACAGAAAGTGTGCAGATTCTCCCCAACACACAAAAAGAAAGTGAAGGAATTTTCTCTGACGTTTCTGAGTGCCTAAACCCTCTAAGGTCTTCTTCATCATCTGGGGAACTCTAGAGATTTGACATCCCATTAAAAATATATCTTGAGGCTGGGCACAGAGGCTCATGCCTGTAATCCTAACACTTTGGGAGGCTGAAGTGGGCAGATCACTCGAGGTCAGGAGTTCAAAACCAGCCGGGCCAATATGGTGAAAACCCATCTCTACTAAAAATACAAAAACAGCCAAGTGTGGTGGCACACACCGTGATCCCAGCTACTTGGGATTGGGAGGCTGAGACAGGAGAATTGCTTGAACCTGGGAGGCAGAGGTTGCTGTGAGCCAAGATTGCACCACTGTACTTCAGCCTGGGTGACAAGAGAGAAACTCCACTTCAACAACAACAAAAAAAGGTGAATATGGTCAATTTTATGTTTTGCATATTTGAGCACAACGAAAAACACATTTCCTGCATAAATTTTATGAAGAGCCACAGCTATCAAGTGGCAGGGACGAGCACAGAAACCCTGAGATTGGTGAATCATTTTTGGATGGGCAGAGGAGACCAGAGCAATGGGAGAACACCAGGTCAGGAGTCAGGTCCTGGGCAGTGGTCCAAGCCCCGCCAGCTGGCCCACATACCATCCTGGGCCTGTCTTTTTTATTCACTGGTTTTTCTGGGCTCTAAAACCAAATCAACAAATGCCTTCAGATTCTCTGATTCTGAGTGTGTCTCTGTGGTCACAGAACACCATTAAAGATGCCAAGAGCAGGCTCACACAGGGAAGTGTAAACTCTCTCATTCCTGGCCCAGCATCAGATAGAGAGAATGAGCTACTAATTCAGACAGAGGCGCCAGGTGCCAAGAGGCACCCTTGGTACTCCCCGCCTGCAGAGACAATAATGGTTTATGACTCTGAACTCACCGGAAGGTTAGCTGGGTCAAAGCAGCAACTTGAGCGTTTGTTTAGATGTCTGTCCAAGAATCTCTCAACTTGCTGCTGGAAGATAATGAGTTCTGAGCCACGCAAGAGTCAAGCGCTCTGTGAATTTGACACAATCTGCTCTTTGATGAGAAATCCATGCATATTAATCACTAAAAAGCGGGGGGAAATGAAAAGCACCATCATTCGCTTGGAAAATGTTTACTGAGCACTACTGTGTGCTAGACACTGTTCTGGGCACTGGAGATAAGAAACAAGGGTAAACGGAAGAGATACGTCTCTGCCCTCAAAGAGTTTTGCATTTTAATGGTGGATTCCCCAAGCATGGATGGAAGAGTCAGGGAGGAAAATAACACAAGGCAAGGGGGTCAAGAGTATTGGGAGTGCCACTCAGAAAAGGCTCACGCCTGAAATCCCAGCACTTTGGGAGGCCGAGGTGGGCAGATCAAGACCAGGAGTTCAAGACCAGCCTGGCCAACATGGTGAAACTCTATCTCACCTAAAAATACAAAAATTAGCTGGACATGATGGTAGGTACCTGTAATCCCAGCACAATGGGAAGCCAAGGCTGGTGGATCACTTGAGGCCAGGACTTCGAGACCAGCCTTGATCACTTGGCAAAATCCTATCTCTGCTAAAAATACAAAAATTAGCCAGGAGTGGTGGTATGTGCCTGTAATCCCAGCTACTTGGGAAGCTGAGGCAGGAGAATCACTTAAATCCTGGAGGCGGAGGTTGCAGTGAGCCAAGACTGCACCACTGCACACTACTCTGAGCTACAGAGTGAGACTCCATCTCAGACCGAAAAAAAAAAAAAAAGGCAATCAGGAAGGTCTCTTTGACTGCATGCTGATGCTCATTGCAGTGCTCATTATAGTAGCAAAGACCTAGAATCAACCCAGGTGCCCATTGAAGTGGACTGGATATAGAAAATGAGGTACATATACACCATGGAATGCTACACAGCCATGAAAAAGAATGAAATCATGTCCTTTGCAGCAACATGGATGCAGCTGAAGGCTGTTATCCTAAGTGAATTAACACAGAAACACAAAACCAAATACCGCAAATTCTCACTTACGACTGGGAGCTAAACACTGAGTACACATGACATAAAGGTGGGAACAGCAGAAAGAAGAGACTCCAAAAGAGGAGAGGAAGGTAAGGGAAGGAGGCAGGGCTAAAAAAATTCCTGCTGGAGACTATGTTCACTATTTGGGTGACAGGATCAACACAAGCCAAAACCTCGGTATCACACAATATACCCTATGACAAACATGCACATGTATCCCCTGAATCCAAAATACTACCTTTTCTAAAAAAAAAAAAAAAAAATTTTGAAGCTATGCATCTACCAAAAATGTTCTCTTGAGTAAGTGCTGTGAGCCAAAGTCCGAATGACAGGCAGGAGCAACCATGCACACAGCTGCAGAAGGAGCCTGTGGGGCAGAGGAAGACCAAAGGCATGAACCCCAAGATGGAATCCTGCCTGAATCAGCATCTTCCCCCAACGGCGATGAGCAGAAGTCTCCAAGGTATGCCAAAGGCCTTGAGCTGAGTGGGGTGACTTGGCAGAAGCAGAAGAGAACCCTTCACCATTACTGGTCTCCAGAGAAAGCCGTGGTCTGGATAATCCCTGAACACAAATGACCCCAACTACAGAGAAGAAAGGAAGAACGGGTGTGCCCCAGCAGGATTTCCCTGGGACGCAGCGGATAACACAAGCTTCCAGCTCAGTGTGATGGTCAACCAGGCATTCACTGGACACAGGAGCCACCAAGGCATTTGCCAGAACACACAAGTTTTCTGGGTGAGGAACACTTTGGTCATGGGTCAGGCAACTAGGCGTTGGGCTGTCCTCCAGGTAAAAAAAGTATCTGTGAGAGGCACACTACAGACAGCCATGCCCAGCTCCCCTTCACTTCCCCTTAGGGCGGGATTGCCAGTGGCTCTGGTATTGGGATCCCAATTTAGCTGGGGGCTCAGGAGACACAGTCAGGGATTTAGGAATGACCTGTGCCGTCACCTCCCAAGGCCATGCCTACCTCCCTGCTCACTGCTCTGGGACCTCAACAGCTTACTCTTTCCATGCACCAAGCTTATTCCCACTGCAAGGCCTTTGAGCAAGCGGCTCTCTGCCTGGAGTGCTCTCTCTTGCCCTCCTTGCACAGCCAAAACCCTCTGGTCATTTGGGCAAAGACTCAAATGGCTCCTCTTCAGGAGAGACCTCCCCCGCCCCACCCCACTCCACCTGACGGTTGCTCTTGGTGCAATACCTTACTCTGCTTTCTTCAGGGCACTTCCTCCATGAGATTGTCTGACTACAACATTTGTTACAGTTAGCATCCCAAGGGGACGGTGGAATCTACTGACGTGGGGCCTTGACAGGGACAGCACCTCCGTGAGTATGCACAAACCTTAGAGCACAGCTGGCATGTTGGTTGACACTCAGGAAAGAGCCGACAGCTGGAAGGTTAAGACTGGAGGAGAGGGAGGAAGAAAAGGGGAAGAGGGGAGAAGAGAGAGGGAAGGATGGGATAGAGGACAGAAAGGAGGGAAGAGAGGAAAGAGGGAAAGAGAGAGAGAGATTTGGCCCCTGCACTTAAGGGTGACACAGACTATGACGGGAACAGATATGCAAACAAATAATCACAGTGAGGTACATGTGCTAGCTAACGCACAAACGGTAGAGAGGGCAGAATGCTTATGTATGAAGCAAGTCAGGGAGTACTTCAGAGAGGTGGTGTCACAAGAGTTGGTTCTGAAGGATGAATAGGAGTTTCTTGGGATGTCATGTCTAGGGAGAGTCGATTACACTTGGAAAAGCCAAAGGGAGTGAAACAACACGAGGTTATCAGGCAAGTACATGCGATATTGTCATAGAACAGGCAACTGGGGATGACTGCTGGAGAATGTACTGCAAAAAGCAGCAGGGCCATGTCTGAAAGGCCTTGAGTGCCAGGCCCAGGGCCTAGGACTTGATGCCATAGGTAACCATGGAGCAACTGAAGTGTGTTACGCAAGCGAGAGACATGTGGCCAGATGTGAGTGGCAAGATTGCTGCAGGGCAGTGTGAAGGATTGTCTAGTAGAGTGACCATGACCTAATAGGGAGACTATTAGGCCATGCAAGGGTCAAGGTAAGACATGATGTCTTTGCTAGTGATAGTGGATAGAAAAGTGGGTGGGGAAATTCCAGAGTTGTTTTAGGGGCAAAGGGGCAGGGCTTGGTGATTGAATAGGGGATGAGGGGGAAGGGAGACAGAGAATAATGCCCCTGTTTCTGGCTTAGGGGCCAGCGAGGTCACGACTGAGCTGAGAGCCCAAGACAGGAGCAGGTGAAGGTGAAGGTGATGAGCTCATCATGGACGTGCAGGTTTGAGGGTCTGTGGCAGGTACTGGGGAAAAGTGTCAGGAATGGGTGGCTACACAGGGACATGGGAGGAAAGGGCTCCAGCACGCTGCCCAGGCTTCTGAACAGGGAGGGCTGACCTAAAAGATTTTGCCTGAAAACCAAGAGAACGTGCTGAAAAGGCAATGACCTTGTCTCTTCCTGCTTCCACGGGAGAGTCACAGGATGCTTGACCTTCTGTCTCTCTCTCTTTCTTGTCAAAAGATTCCATAACCTTTTATCTGCAGGGCTGAGGGAGGGCGAGTCCCATTATCTGCCTGTAGAAAGATTCTGGTATGTGACCCCATTCCACCTTCTGTGGGTAGACCTGCGTCCTCCTTCCCTTTACAAATGGAGCATTTCTCAGAATACAATGCTCAGGGCGTGGGAGACAATCGCAAGGCCTCGTCTGCTTCCCTCTTCCTCAACCAGAATCCTCCTTCCTCCTGCTACTACATATGGGGGGCTCTGGTGCCAATGTCTCACGACACAGGCCAGCCACAGACAACAAGTATTTTCGGATTCCTTCCTGTCTTCAAATTCTGTGTCCTGGGCATGCACTGAGCTTCTGACCAGCCCTGCCTAAGGCTTCAATTCCCTGAGAAAAAAGAACTGTCAGAATGCCAGCCTTCCTTTCTCCACTCCAGACACCCACACTCCACTCCCACCCTTATACTCACTGGGACTGCCACACAACTCTAACCTTTCTCTGCTTAAATCCTGCCCAATGTCAAGAGTCCTCAGCAGTGCCACTGCCTCCAGGAAGCCTTCCACAATGCCCCAGGGTTTGCAACTCAGTCATACCCTGGCCTTGTGATTCTGTGGATGCTCCTCTTGTCTCCCTTCCTCCCCTAGAGCCCTGAAACTTTGTCTGGTTCGTCAGCATAAGGCTGGGACTGCCACACCAACCCCAGTACAATGCTCACAGCAGCCTTTCCTAAAGAGCCAACTGCTGATTGGCCAAATCAGAGACAGCAGTGGGATCCATGAGCCCTGCTGGTTCCCTCATACATTTAACGGGTCTTATAAATCACATAAAATTTTATAATTCCTATAAATTATGTTTTTATGAAGCATGCAAATCACCTGTAAGATACCACCAGTGGATATAGGTAATACCCAGAGAGATCTTGGTTTTTCTAAAAGAGATGAGATCCCCTCTGTTGGAAACAGATGCTCGGTGCCACAAAGAAAAAATAGCACTGAGACAAAGGATCTCTCAGCAAAGCAATTTTTACTTCCTGCACTGCAGGAAGGGTGCCCTCGCTAGCCATCTTGCCACAAGAGTACAATGAACAAAGGAAAAGCAGACATATTTATCCCTTATGCATTTGGGGTTGTCCTTACTGCCGTGTCTGATCCCCACTAGTTGGAGCCAGACCTTACAATCTAAGCTAAAACCTGATTGTCTAATAACTTAAAACTTTTCTAAACAGGCAAAAGCAATGGAAAAGTCCAAACAAGGAAGGGGCATAGGCTGCGAGCTGGGACATGCCTGTGAGCACGTCCAGCACAGATATCTTGGTTAAAGTACAAGGACATAGATTGTACTATGCGCCCATAAGCATACCTAACAGCTACATAGGATAAGGCTTAACACAGACTTATTAGCAAATTTATTATTTAACAAGAAAGGAAATTTTGAAGAGGAACTTTTACTTCCCATACCCTCCCTCACGGGTTCAGCATCCCTCACCCTGGCTGGGCACCAGCACACTCCTGTTCAGGTGAAGAAAAAGGAGGCATTTACAATCAAGGATTGAAATTGCAGTAGAACAACATGCGTTAAAATGGCAGGTCTGCCTCAAACTAGCTGAGACTTTGAGCAGGACACACAAGAACTCCCGAACCCTCGGCTTCATCTTCTACAAAGTGAAGAAAGTGACACCTAACTCAGGGATCTGCCATAAAGATGGACAGTCTTGTCAATAATGAAGTGCTATATGCATTTTATGATCATGATTTCATTGGTTCCCAACTCTCTCGGGAGGTGACACAGGAGTTTGGGCTTATGTCGCAGCACAGTGATATCGCTCAGTGACTTTGAGCGAGACCCAATCCTGGAGAACAAGTAAATGTTGAGGGGAAAACATGAATGGATTTGCGAGCAGGCCACGTCCTGGCTGTGGAGCTTGGGCAGCTTTCCTTACCTTTCCAAGACTCTGTGCCACCACTATAAAGTGAGGATAAACAAGGGGAGCTGAAACTTCCTAAATAAGATGTAGCAGTGCAGGAAAGTACCCAGCACATTCTTCACTTGCAGACCATTTCTTCTTTTCTTCCAACTCCAGGTTTGCATTTCTATTAGTAAACTAAACAGATTGGATCAGCTGGTCCTGCAAATGGGGCTCTCTCCAGGATGTGAGTTCAAATTAGGTAACATGTGAGAATGGCTTTTAGGTGGGAAGTGCTGCGTGTAGATATGAGAAGAATTGTTCCAATTATTCTGACCAATTGTTTCCACTGTGCCAGTAGGTGAAGGGGATGACTCACGTAAAGAAAGGGAGAGGCCAGGCGAGGTGTCTCACACCTGTAATTCCAGCGTTTTGGGAGACCGAGGTGGGAGAATCACTTGAGCCCAGGAGTTCAAGACCAGTTTGAGCAACATACGGTTACCCTATCTCTACAAAAAAATAAACAAATTATCCAGGCATGGTGGCATGTGCCTGAGGTGGGAGGATCACTTGAGCCTGGAAGGTCAAGGCTGTAGAAAGTGGTGAGGGCGATTGTACCACTGCACCCCAGCCTGGGCAACAGAGTAAGACCCTGTCTCAAAGCAAAAAAAAAAAAAGGGGGGGTAGAGATGAGTATAAAAACCTGGTGGATATCACTTTAACAAAGACGAACTGACTTTACGTGTCTCCTGATAGGCTTTACTGAGGATACAGCATCAGTTCTGCAGGATTCTTGCAAAAAGGCAATCCTCAGTGTAATCGTGAACAAACATCAGACAAATGCCAGTGAGGAGGCAGTCTGTAAAACAGCCAGCTAGTATTCTTCAAAAGTTTCCAAGCCATAAAAGATAGACAGAGGACTGTCCCAGACTGAAGGAAACAAAAAACTTTGACAGCTAAACACAATGTGGACAACTGGCAAAACATGAGCAAACCACGTAGAGTAGTTAGATTATCATATAAATGCTAAGTTCCTGGTTGTGATCATGATACTGTGAGTATGGAAGACAATATAATTTGGGGGAGCTAGGTAAAGGTACAAAGGGACTCATTACTATTTTGGAAACTTTGTTGTAAATCTAAAATTATTTTCAAATTTTAAAAATATTTTTAATTTTAAAAAAGAGGAGATTGATTCAAGCAAAGGAGATTGACTCACACTTCCCAGTGTCAGGAGTCAACATACCCAGGACCCTCTCCTCCACAACTCTATGAGACTCTGCGGTCATGGGGTGGGCTTAGGGAGAAGGGAGAGTCCTGCTTTCTTCCTAAATCAGGAGGTAAACTCTCTTAAGTCCCAAGGCCGCACTAGCCTTAGGTAAGTCTCCCCCAGAGACACTGACAGAAGCAGAAAACAGAAAATCAGGTCTAGTGGGGGTGTCTTTCCAACTCTCCCACCAGCACCTGTGGGACTCCAGGTTAGAGGAAGAGCCAGCCAGGAGAAGCTCTCTGGTCCCAGGACCTGGACCCCAGCATCTCTGCCTGCATGGAAGGATCGCCTTAGGACATTCCTGCTTTCTCCTTGTAACCCCAGCCCCTGCACCCTTGGGTTCAGTGCACTCAATCTGCATTCTCCATATTTTCCACTTGGTACAATAGCAAGGACCTTATTGTACCAGCAAAAAATCTCTTGGACTCTTGCAAAATTGTAGTCAACCTTTTAGTATCTTTTCTCTGAGAAAATTCGTACTTGCAAAAAAAAAAAAAAAAAAAAAAAAAAAAAAAAAACCCAACGTATTCACCTTTCAAAAGTAATTCTGTACCTTACCCATCACAATGAAATGCATACATCATTAAGAAAAGCTGGTGTGTTTATGTCTACAAAGGAGCTCGGATTCTTAAAGACGCAAAAAAGAAAGGAAACCTCATGCGAAAATATCTCTTCTCCAGCCAACCCTGCAACAGTGATTTTTACCCCAGGACTCAGGACCCATGACCACAGGATCCCAGGACCTCAGAACACAGGACCCTTAGGATGCAGAACTTCAGAACCTCAGGACCCAGGACCTCAGGGTCTCAGAATCTCAGGACCTCAGGACCCATAGGACTCAGGATTTCAGGACCTCAGGACCTCAGGATTTCAGAACCCAGGACTTCATGACCCAGTATCTCAGGACCAAGTACCTCAAGACCTCAGAATCTCAGGGCCCAGGACCTCAGGACCTCAAGACCTCAGGATCTCAGGACCCAGGACCTCAGGACCTCAGGACTCAGGATTTGAGAACCTCCACACCCAGGACCTCAAGATCTCAGAATCTCAGGACCCAGGACGCTCAGGACCTCAGGACCTCAGGACCCAGGTTCCAGGACCCTCAGGAACTCAGAACCTCAGAATCTCAGGATCCAGAATCTCAGAACCTCAGGACCTAGAACCTCAAGATCTCAGGACCTTAGAAACTCAGGAATTCAAGAACTCAGGATCTCAGGAGCCAGAAACTTCAGGACCTCAGGATCTGAGGACTCCCAGGCCTAATAAAAGCTGAGCCACATCAAAGTCTGAGGCAAAGAAAACGTGCACCTGTATATACACTTATCAAAATATCTTCCCATCTTTCAAACCAAGTGGTATAGTTAATGCAAGCTTTGCCATTAAATAACATGACTTCATATATACAGAGCTCTTCATTGCCCAATCTACTTTTCTGCCATTGTCCACCCTCATAAACCCTGCAAAGAGGAGAGCAACAGTGAGGCAGGCTGATCAGAATCAATTCTTCTCATTGCACAATGATGCAGGGCCACTAAACAGACAAACAACCGCTTGTCTTTATTTAACATTTGGATATTTTGTTTATCCTGGATTTGTTTGTGTTCATTTTGATTTTTTAAATACTGCATTAAAATATTATTTACCTTGATAATTGAATTTTCAGGTGGTGGGCCCTTAAATTGAGTGCAGTATGTGAGTACCTCACTAGTCTTATTCTACCCCCACCCTAGCTAGCTCCCCATTCCCTTCCCACGCTCTTGTTCCCCTCTGCTGCCAGCTGCTCTATCTTCTTCCAGATGATGGATTTCTCCAGTGGGTGGAGAGAGAAAAGGCTCTCCCAGCAGCTGTCTGAAGGATTTCTCTGTCACTTACCTCCTCAGACTCTGAACAGGACTCTTCCAAGGAGATCTACAGGCTTCAGTGCTCTTCAATTCAACTCCAGGTTCCTGTGAGAAAAGATATTACATCATCTTCATTCACCACTAGCAATCCTCATCTGGAGCTGCCATGTTCTTAAGGGAAGACTACATTTCATCCTTCCTAGAGAGGTCTCTGGTCCTGTTCTCTGGGTTGAAGGTACAGAAAACCTGTTCGTTTATTCTAGCCACCTTATCACGGAGATAGGAAAACTGGGACCCAGCAAGGGAAAGGGGCTTATCTGATGTCAAAGAGGGTAATCAGAGGTGAAGCCAGGGCTCTTGAACCTGAACAGGACAGGACAGACATTGTCAGCTACAGGCTCCACACACTAGTGGAGCAACAGGTGAGAAAGGAGCACCCTTAGCCCCACCACCTCACCCCAAAACTGGTCTCATTTTTCACTGGAGAAAACTCACACAGAATTGAAACCCTGAGCATCTGCTTACAGAGACCTGAATTTTAATCCTGGTTATATCACTTAATATCATGCAGTTTTCAGCAAGTGGATAAACCTCTGAGTTTCAGACACTGCATCTGTAAAATAATTTTGGTGTTCTGAAGACAGCAAAGACCAGTGGTTAAGCCCAATGTAGAAAGTAAAAAGTTCCTCTTCAAAGTTTCCCTTCTTGTTAAAGAATAATCATAATAAATGTTAGAAATAATAGTTTGTTTTAAAGACTTTCTTCAGAGCCTTCTTGCTTTTTGCTATTAACTCTTCATTAAGCCCCATCCTCTGTAGCTGTTAGACATGCTCACAGGCACGTAGTACCTTCTATGTCCTTGTACTTTAACCAAGATATTTATGCTGGACGTGCTCACAGGCATGCCCCAGCTTGCAGCCTATGCCCCTTCCTTATTTGGGAATATTATTACTTTTCTAAGTCCTTTTGTAAGCAACTTCCTCTTTTCCTTTGTTCTCTATTGCCTTTACCTATTTAGAAAAGTTTTAAGCTGTTAGCCAATCAGGTTTAGTTTTAGATTGTGAGGTCTGGCTCCAACCAATGGAGATCAGACACAGCAATAAGGACCCAATGTGTAATAAATAAATATGCCTGCTTGTCCTTTGTTCATTGTACTCTCATGGCAAGATGGCTAACAGGAGTACCCTTTCTGCAGAAAGTAAAATTGCCTTGCTGAGAAAACTTTTTGTCTGAATGCTATTTTTTCCTTGTGACATCTGGGAACAAGCATTCCATCTCTAATACCCAACAGGCCTGGGTTTGGACCAGAGCTGCCCCACTCAGGGCTGTGTGGCATGAGCAAGTCACTTGACCTCTCTTCACTTCCATTTCCTGTCGCATAAATCATTTTTATGCATATTAAGAAATCATTTCTTTACAACATTGTATCTTAAACATATTTGCATATTAATGACCTTTAATGGCCATAGAGCATTCTATTCACAGTGTATGTATGTCTGTATTAGCTAAATAAATAAAAATATATATAATGATTAAATATACTAAGGTATATATCACTTAACCATTTATTCTTTTTTAATTCAACAGTGTTTACCCTACTGTGTACCAGATACTCCACTAGGAATGGGGGGTACAGCAGTAAGCACTACCTGCCAGATCCCTGACCTCAGGAAATGTACTTCCCTATATTCTCCATTCCCAATTCAGTCATGGTCAGCCCCTGTCCCCAGTTCTCTGCAACTGTTCTTCCCAGCCATCCTCAAGTTCAATGCATCAGAGTGTGTATCCCAATTTGGGGTTCTGAAATCAGGGCTTTGTGTGATCACAAATGACATTCCCAGCAACCATCAGCAAATGTCCTTCTTCTTTTTGGTAATTACCTTTGGATAAATTCTCAGGCGTGCAATCACTGCACCAAAGGCTGTGAGCCTTTTAATGACTCTTGATACATACAATCAATTTGTTTTCCAAAGGGGCTGCACCCAATTTACACACTGCCACCGGCAATGTGTGGGTACCATGCTCAGACCATGACAGTGTCAGACCTGGGTGTGATAATTATATTTCTTAATTTGTGCTAATTTAATAGGTGTAAAATTGCATCTCATTTTAATTTGCATTTCTTTGATAGTGATGAAGGTTGAACGTTTTCTCTAGTAAATATACACATGGACAGCTTGATCCATTTATTCATTCATTATATATTAACTCTGTCCTATACCCCAGACACTGCAGAGTGCCAGAGACTCAGATATACATAGAACACAGGTCCCACCTTCAAGAACCTTATATCCAACTGGGTGGAGTAGCTTACGCCCATAATCCCAGCACTTTGGGAGGCCAAGCTGGGGGATCAACTGAGGTCAGGAGTTTGAGACATGGTGAAACCTCATCTCTACCAAAAATACAAAAATTAACTGGGGATGGTGGCTTGTGCCTGTAGTCCCAGCTACTTCGGAGACTGAGACAGGAGAATTGTTTGAACCTGAGAGGTGGAGGGTGCAGTGAGCCAAGATGGTGCCACTGCACTCTAGCCTGAGTGACAGAAAAAAAAAAAATAGGAAACAGAGGAAAGCAAACAAGCTAGCCAACAGTCCTGATGTGGTGAGACAGACCATGTGCTAGAGAGGCCTAGTGGACTTGTTGCAGGAAGAGGAGGGACAAAGAGAGGTGACAGAGATGAGGGCACCCAACCCAGACTGGGGGATTAAAAACAGTGTCTCATCTGCTCCGGATCAGCCTCCAATAGCCAATGGACAAACGGGTAGGGACCTTCCATTATGTTGATCCATTCGTTTCTTGTGCTATGTAATGTCTCGGCAAAGGTGAGAGCACCATTCTATTTGTACATGTGCTTCTGTGTGTCTGCTGTCTATGTGCATTTGTTGTGTTGTGTGATGTAAGTGCCTAGGTGACATGTGTTGTGCCTTTGGGTATATCGTGGGATGTCTCTGTGCTTTGGTTGTATTGAGCACATGTCAAGTGTGTTCTCTGGGTGCCATGTGCTAGGGTGTTGTGCTATGTATTCTGCAGTTCTGCATCAGGCAGATGATCCTGGGTGGGCCTGGGCTCCTGTGGGTGGAGAGCTGTGGAGATTTGCATAGGGCTTCTGCCAACTGAGGGGCCCCACTGCACTGACCCCTTTTGGCCACTGGCCCTGCCTCACTCAACCTTGGTTCTAGCCTCTGCCTCTGTTTGCAGTCCCATAGGGAGGATGAATCCGGCCTCTCTGGGGTCGGCCCTGTCATCCAGGCAGACTTAGCATCTTCTCTGAGTTTTCAGTTTTCTCTCTGTCAACTGAATCCCTGCTAAGCCCGGCAGCCTTCCCTTCTTACAGTCCTCCCTGGCACAAGGGATCCCAAGAGGTGGGCAGACACTCAAGGCTCATTCTCTGCCTTGAGTCACTGGAGGGCTTATGAGAGCCCATGAGAAACCACCAGTCAGGAAAGGCCCCCAGGAAAAGTGGCATGAGTCACCCTGCATGGGCACTGCCACCCCTGGGCCATTGATTGCCGATGGAGGAATAGCCATTGGCCCAGAGGCAAAGAAGGCAGAGACTCTCTGGGTGGCCAGCAGCCCCCTGCCTTAAATGCCTCCCTGGAACGCCTATAAATCATCATCACGCTTTGCTACCTGAAGCAAATCGCCAGGACAAGGCAAGTCCTTCACTCTTCCCTCCTAACACAGCACTCCACCCCCCACATACAAGATGTAAACACAATTAGCGTTTTTTTAAAAACAGTTTATGGAGATATATTTCACAGACAGCCATACAGTCCATCCATTTAATGCACACACATGTCCGTGGCTTTTAGTATATTCACAGTTGTGCAACCATCACTTTAGGCTATAGAATGCTTTCATCACCCTAGAGAAAAAAACCCATGCCCATCAGCCTCATTCTCATTCCCCTCTCTCCTCTAACCCTAGCCCTAAGCAACCCTAATCTAATTCCTGTCTCTACAGATATGCATACCCTGTTACATTTCATATAAACAGAATTACACGCTATGTGGTCCTTTCTGACTGGCTTCCTTGACTTAGGATAATGTTTTCAAAGTTCATCCATGTTGTAGCATGCATCATTATTTTAATCCTTTTTATTGCCAAATAATATTCCACTTTACAGATGCAACTGCGTTTTATTCATAAACCCATCAATTGATGGACATTGGAGTTGTTTCCGCTTTTTGACTATTGTCAAAAGTGTTGCTATGGACATTCACATATAGGTTTTTGCATAGATGTAGTTTTTATTTTGCCTGAGTGCATACCTAGGAGTGGAATTTCTGGGTCATGTAGTGACTCTATGTTTAACTTTTTGAGGGACTGCCAATTTTCCAAAATGGCTTTTCCAAAGCACCATGTTGCTTTCCTACCAGGAAATTTCCTACCAGGAGTGATTTATTTTTCAGCATCCTCACTAACAGCTGTTAGTTTCCATTTTTTAAGTAGTAGCCATTCTGGTGGATATGAAATGGTATCTTGTGGTTTTGATTTGACTCATTGTTATCAATTTTATATACATTGTTTTTCTATATGTCTTCATATCTGTAATTCATAGGCAGGTATAGGTATAAAGCTTCGTAGAGTTTTATTTTTTGTTTTTTGTTTTCTTCTTTGAGACAAAGTCTCACTCTGTCATCCAGGCTAGAGTACAGTGGCAGAATCTCAGCTTACTGCAACCTCCGCCTCCTTGGTTCTAGTGATTCTCCTGCCTCGGCCTCCTGAGTAGCTGGGATTACAGGTGCATGCCACCATGCCTAACTAATTTTTGTATTTTTAGTAAAGACAGAGTTTTACCATGTTGGCCAGGATGGTCTCAAACTCCTGATCTCAGGTGATCCACCTATCTTGGCCTCCCAAAATGCTGGGATTACAGGTGTGAGCCACCATGCCTGGCTGCTTTGTAGGTGTTTAACACACTCATTCCTAACTTACCTTCTGCAACTTATTTCTTCCCTTACCATATTTTAAAAATCTTTCCACATTAGGACAGGCATATCTATTATTCCACAATTTATATCTACTGTAGTTTTCCCGGCAGTCCTCTGTGGATATACGTTGAAGTTGCTTCATATTTTCACTGTCAGAAGTAGTGTTTCAATCTAAACATCCATGGACATGTGTCTTTGTGTAAGAGTGTGAGTGATGCAGACTTCCTAGAAACAGAATTGCTGATTCAAAGGAGTAGAATAATTTAAACTGTGGCAGGACTC